TCTCCCAGCGTGCAGCCTGAATACTTAACTTTTCCTTTTGTATTTGGCAAACTCACTGCTTGTCGCAGTTTGTCACTGGCAAGTCACCAAAAAGATGGTGACTATGTGGCTTGCTGTTGTGCGATTCTGTCTTTCATTCTTTTACAGTTCTCCTTCTCGCATGTCATCTTTTCTTTTCCGTGGTCCACGGCACTAAGTTTCTGTGCCATGATGGTTTTAAGGGACAGTTTGCCAGGCAGCCGCCTTGTTAAAGGAGCAGAGCATTTCTTTGCATAAACATAATGATTCCTTTGATAATGTGCCTTGAATTCCAGGCAGATGAAAGTATGTACAGGGAGCACAGAAGTGAGAATTTAGAGAATGTTGATGCACATGGCTGCATCCATCCAGCTGCATCCGGTACCTCTCATTCCTGCTGGGTCAAGTTGGTCTAGCCCTGTTGAAACTTAGGATTTACAAAATAGGTCTTGGGATTTAGCAAGCTGATAGCCTGTGGAAAAGAGGGACAACCCGTTTAGTCATGGATATGTGAGACTCTTGGGCAAAGTTCTTAGTGACTTTTTTTTCCTTACTCTATTCTTCCACTCTCTCCAGGACTCACAGTGTGAGCGTCCAGTGATTAAGTTGTGGCATCAGGGGGTGTGGTGTTCCTACCTTCCCACTGTGTGCGTTCCGCCCAGCAAGTGTCCGTGCCTTGATTCTGTCTTTGCCAATTCGGCTGCCCTCACAGCAATGTGCAGTAACCACTGAATGATGCAGGAGATGCATAATCCATCATCTAACACCAACAGAAAAGTTCAGGCTTCTTACCCGAGGTCATCTATAAAGCAAATACAATGATCTCCTTGTGTCCATGGCCTTGGTTTCTATAGGGACCAATCCTCATATTAAACAAGATGATTCTGCAGTTCTGTGTTGATTCCCATCCTGTATCAATAAAGCCTTTGTGGACCTAGGCCTTGGGGTCAGAACAGGGAATTTAACCCCCTACCTTGGACTCCCAACACCTGAAGAGTGCTACTCAGAGGGCTGATTTGCTGTGCCTTCTTGATAGCAGCTCCTGTGATTTAGCACAGTTCCAGTGGGAAGCTTTCTTTATCTGTAATTAGCCGAGCTAGGTAGGATGGTGTTGGTGTTGAGACAAACTTCGGTTTTAAAGAGAGGGGAACTGAAATACTGAATTTCGTATTAGATCACAGTCATCTTTTCTCCTAGCCTCCCCCTGCCATTTCAAGAAATAATGACAAATAGAAATGAACAGCACTGCTAATTGAATTTATGGCTCAAATGCCAGCGCTCAAATCTTTGGTTGCATCCGTGTGAAGCATACATAACTTTTAATCTGAAGTAGATGTTGACAAAGTAGATGTTGCTCTTATCCTACCCAGGCTGTCAAACCTGTATTATTGTTTGTTCTACCCTAATCTTACAGTGTGTGATCTGTGGACAGAGGGCACCCAGGGGCAGTCCATGAATCGGTTTACTTCTTCTACCCAGTGATGGAGAGAGCAGGTCCCATGCTTATAGTTCTGTGAGATGACTGGGACTCTGCTGCCTGCAAAGGGCTTTAGTGCTCAGTAAACAGCACATGGCAAGGGAGAGGAGAACTTTCATCAGAATCTGCCCTCCATCTGCTGGCACGTGCCCTGGTACACCTGCTGTCCGCCTGAGGGTGAGGTCAAGGTGACAGAGGGAACAGAATGCTTCTTACCTCTACATGCTCCTGTCCTGGTGAATTACTGCCCCGTTTGTCCCACCTGTAATTTTGGAGAATTATTGAACACTCACCAACGAGGTCAGTCTGATATCGTCAGAGAAACCAGTCGCCCTTTCCCTTGTGCGCAAGTAGGGTCACAGATGTTAAAAAGCAAATTGAGGGTCAGGCGTTGAACCTGGCAATGAAGACAACCCGGTCTGACTTCAGAGCGCCTGGGCGCTGAGCCTGCTTGGCTCCTGGGTCCAGCTTCCTGTCGTGCACGTCATGGGAGGCAGCTTGATGGCACAGGTGACTGGGTTCCTGCCGCCCAGGTGCAAGAACTGGCTGCTCACTCAGCCTCTGTTCCGGCTGTTGTAGGCATTTGGGGAGTGAGCCAGTGGATGGGGCCATGAGCTTCCTTCCTCCCCAGAAAGGTTTCTTTTTTTTTTTTTTTTTTAAAGATCGTTGGTAGAAAGGTAGAACTTGAAGATGCTTCATTTTGTTAAAAAATAAAAAATGAAATGGACATAAGTGCTTTTATCATTTAATCTACTCAGAATCAAAGTTCCATCATGATAGTGTCAGTGGTATTATCTTCATTTTTTTTAAGAAGGAATTTGTTTTTTACATTAGGACGAATTATTGGGCTTTGGGCTTTGTACTTTTATTTGCTTAGGAATGAGTAATTGCCTCATAAAACAGCATGATGTCACTATTAACACTGAATTATAAGACCTGTTATTATAGAATGTACTTCCTTGTTTGGTGTTTAAATAATTAGTTTCTCCAAATGAGGCTATAATGAGCAGTGTAAAATTTTACCTGTTTAAGATAAAAAGGTTTAAAATCTCCCGCGTGTCGTTTTATGCATCACTTGATGCTTCGGGGGAATTTCTTTTGGGTGGTATTGAGAAGGAAATTTGAGAAGAAGAAGTGATTTCTATTTTACAGACCTGAGGCAGATTTGAGGAAGTATTAAAGGGCTTGCCCAGTGTTCTGTCTGCTTTGGGCATTGAATATGAAAGTCATCATTGACCAAATATCTTTGCATAATATTTGGGGGACTTTATCAGGGGGTGATGAGAACTGTGAACTATTTGGCAATTTCTGAAATCCTTTGAGATTCCGTGCATCTTATTTCTTTATCATTCTTTGTTCATTTACTTAAACTTAAAAAAAAAAGATTTATTTTTATTGGAAAGTCAGATGTACGGAGAGGAGAAGAGACAGAGAGGAAGGTCTTCTGACTGCTGATTCACTCCCCAAGCAGCTGCTTCAGTGGGAGCTGTGCTGATCTGAAGCCAGGAGTCTCTTCTGGGTCTCCCACGCAGGGTCCCAAGGCTTTGGGCCATCCATGATTGCTTCCCCAGAACACAGGCAGGGAGCTGTGTGGGAATCGGGGCCGCCAGAATTAGAACCGGTGCCTGTATGGGATCCCGGTGCATGAGAGCTGAGGACTTTAGTCACTAGGCTACTGCTCTGGGCCCTTAAACTTTTTTTGAACTATAAAGTTGTGGGTATAATAAGTATGTAAAATACTTTAGAGTTTCAAATACAAATTTACTGTTGTTTTCAACCTAGGGAGTTGAAAAGCTAGATGTTGTCAGCAAGTGCTATTTTGGATCAAAAATCTGAATTTGTATATGGCTCTCATGTATTCGATAAAAACCAAACTGCATCTCTTGAGCCCATCCCTGAGCCGGGTGCTGAGGTTTCTGAATAGAGAGGAAGTGGGGGTTATGGACCAGTGGTAACGATGTCAATATGCAAGCAGTTAATTCAAGTTGTAGACTTGATGTGGGAGACAGAGTGCGGGCAGCGAGTCGATAGCACGGTGAGAAAGTGCAGTGCTGGTCCTTAACCTCTGTTCCTTGCTTGAGTTTATGGCTTGTGCATAATACGTTAGTCCTAATGAAAGAGGAAGACTGCTTTTGTGATGAGTAGCTGTTTTTTAATTTATGTCTTGGTAATTATGCTAAAGAGAAGGATACCACCAATTTTCATTTGGTATTTTTAACTACAAAAGCAAGAGAAATCTCATTTTATCTCAGGGAGATCCTTGGGAATGGTTGTAAATGTTATATATATATAATATATATATAAGATTGATTAGAAAGAGAGAAAAAGAGAGAGACAGAGGGTGAGATTTTGCATCTGCTGGTTCACTTACCAAATGGCCTCAAGGCCACTGGCACTATGCCAGGCTGAAGCCAGGAGCTTCTTCCAGGTCTCCCACATGGGTGCAGGACCCCAAGTACTTGGACCATCTTCTGCTCTCCGAGGCATGTGAGCAGGGAGCTCAGTCAGAAATGGAGTAGCCATGACTTGAACTGGTGTTGCAGGCAGTGACCTAACTGCCTATACCACAGTACTGGCCACCCATTCTTTCTTTTCTTTCTTTTAAGATTTATTTATTTTGTTGGAAAGGCAGATGTAACAGAGAGACAGAGAGGAAGATCTTCCGTCCGATGATTCACTCCCCAAGTGACTGCAATGGCTGGTGCTGCTCTGATCTGAAGCCAGGAGCCAGGAACTTCTTTCTGGGTCTCCCACACAGGTGCAGGGTCCCAAGCTTTTGGGCCATCCTTGACTGCCTTTCTAGGCCACAAGCTGGGAGCTGGATGGGAAGTGTAGCTGCCGGGATTAGAACCAGCACCCATATGGGATCCTGGTGCGTTCAAGGCGAGAACCTTAACCATTGCGCTATCGTGCCGGACCCAGTGGGCACCCATTCTTATGGTTTTAACACTTGTGACTAATTGCAAACCCTTGTGTTCCAATGCGTTGGCCTCCTACGTCATACTGCTTCCTTTCCTGTAGCTCTTCCTCAGATCTAACACAGAATAGCTTCAGGGTCTTGTGTCCAGTATGCCTGAGACCATAAATATTCCCAACTGTGTCATTTTTTTTTCTGTAATATTTGCATATCCAAAGTGATATACTTTGGGGGTAGGCCTGAAATCTAAAAAGAAAATTCATTTATGTTTCATATACGCCTGCGACACAATGCTGAAGGACAGTTTCACGCAGTATTTCTGGTGTGTCTGGATTTTGACTGCCACCCGTCCCATGAGATCAGGTGTTGTGTTTGTCACTGGTGGTGTCGTGTAGGAGCTCTGCAAGATGCGGACTGGGGAGCATCTGGGTTTACTGTTTTGTATTCCGGATGCTCAACCTGTGGGATGCTCTGGTTAGAATCATTGGGTATCAGCAGGCCTCATGTGGAACACTTTCATTGCTGACTACAGTAGGTGGTGTTTGTGGCCCTGAGTTCTCAATGTCATTTTTTTTTTTTTTCTTGCAGGAAGCCAGTTGAGGGAAAATTCTCCATGAATGTATGTCACAATGATGATGACCGACCAGATCCCTCTGGAACTGCCACCCTTGCTGAACGGAGAGGTAGCCATGATGCCTCACCTGGTGAACGGAGACGCAGCTCAGCAGGTACGTACCCTAAGGGAGGAACTGATGTCAGACTGTGGCAGTGGGAAACATCTTCCCACTAACTGCGTTGGGAATCAAAGTTCTGTGCTTTGGTGCGCTAGTATTACTAGAGGTAAGTACTTTGTGTTAGAATTTCTGTATGATATTTTAAAATATCAGAAATTGTGGTTTGAAAACAGCACATGTGAGCTCATCCAGTTAGTATTCTTGAACCAGTGGAAAATGTGTGAGCTTTTTTTTTTTTTTTTTTTTTTTTTTGGCAGTGAGTCATTTTGAGACTATGTAAGTCTTTGGAATAAATTGACTGTTTATTCCTGTTATGCATTGTGCTCCGTTGGTTGGATGGGTTGGCCGGAGCACTGTGCTCACAAGGGCAGGCTTTGATTTCACGCGGAGTGACCCGGACAAGATGCACAGGTCAGTGTGAACCCAACCTGGCTTCTGGAGCAGTGCTTCCAATGTGTAGCTCATAAAATCCGGATACTTAGTTCCTCTAAACTCCTTTGCCAGTACATACTTATTGGTACAGAATGGAGAGGTTATTTTTGAAGTCAATCATGTAACGCTTAGGGAAAAAACCAGGTAAACACCAAGTAAAACTTTTTAAAATTATTAAAATTATTTTTGGTAATATCACATTTTAAAATAAACCACAAACACTGAGCTTGCCCGGTCTTGTAAGAAAATAGATCTTTTTGTCTTTGTGTGTTTCTTAGAAGGTATAAAAGCTGAATTGGGAATAACTGATTGAAAAAATACTTAAAAAAATATATATATAATTGAATTAGCTTTATCACTTATTTGACTTCAGTGTTCATCGTACGCCATGTGCGTGATGTTTTGAACATATCTCTGTTGGATCTTGCCTTGTTGCTTCATAATTTGCATGGCTTTCTCTGAATCACATTTAGAGCCCTGTAGGAGCAAAGACCAGCTAGCAGGTGCTCAAGAAATGTTTGTCATTTATCCTTTCCTATTACTCGTGCAGGTGTCTTTCTTCCTGATTTCTTAGTCTTTTTTTGCTGTTGTTGAGTCATTGTATTAACTTTTGTGTATGTAGATTTACCTATTTATTTATTGACAAGGCAAATTGAGAGAAAGATCTCCAGTCATTCTTCAGTTTATTTTGCAAATGGCAGCAACATTAAGGACTGGGCCAGGCTGAAACCAGGAGATATGTACTCCATACAAGTCTCTCATGTGGAAACAGGTACTTAGGTTGTTGGGCCATCTCCCACTGCCTTCCCAGCTGCCTTGCCAGGGACCTGGGTGGCAAGGGCAGTAGCTGCCATCTCCCACTGCCTTTCCAGATGCCTTGCCAGGGACCTGGGTGGCAAGGGCAGTAGCTGGGAGTCAAAGTGGCACTCTGACGTGGGATGCCAGGGATAGCTTAATGTGCGGCGCCACATACCTGTCTCCACTATCTTCTGCTGTTTTTTTTTTTTTAAGATTTATTTATTTTTAGTGGAAAGTCAAATTAAAGAGAGGAGGACAGGCAGAGAGAAAGATCATCCATCTGCTGGTTAACTTCTCAAGTGGCTGCAATGACCAGAGCTGAGCTGATCCGAAGCCGGGAGCCAGGAGCTTCTTCCAGGTCTCCCACATGGGTGCAGGGTCCCAAGGCTTTGGGCTATCCTCTACTGCTTTCCCAGGCCACAAGGAGGGAGCCGCTGGATGGGAAGTGGAGTAGCCGGGATATGAACCAGCATCCATATGGGATGCTGGCACATGCAAGGCAAGGACTTTAGCAGCCCAGGTCCTCATGTGTAGGCATCTAAATCCCATTTACCCATGTAGCCAGGGGACCTGAGGCTACTTGTTCATGTTGCTGTTTGCATGATGTCTGTCTCATTTCTAGATTCAGTTTTCCTAGTGCAACCTTCTTGTTAATTGCAGAGTTCCTGGATACAGCATTTTCTAATTTTCCCTTCAGAAGCGAAATACCTTTGTCACTTTCAGAAGTGACAATTGTTTAGAAGACCATGATGACTCTCCCTACTTTGTGTGTGAACTCTGCTTTATGCAGATGTTGTTTAATAGTTTAATAAAACCACATTTTCATTTCTTCTGGGAAATCTGGTTTATAGGTAGAGTGTGTAGCCTTCTTGAATAGGACACTTAAACTCCCGGGGAAGCAGACACTTATCCTTTTTTATTGTTAATATTTCTTTATTTACTTGAAAGGTAGATCTATAGAGAAGGAGTGACAGAGAAAGAGATCTTCCATTTGCTGGTTCATTCCTTGAATGACTGTAACAGCTGGGGCTTAGTCAAGCCAAAGTCAGAAGTCTGGAATGCCATCCTGTCTCCCATGTGGGCCATCTTCTGATGCTTTCCTGGATGTTTTAGCAGGGAATTGGATGATTGGATCAGGAACAGAATGCAACACTTGAACTGGCACTTCGCTGTGGGATATCAGCATTGTAGGCAGTGTCTTAACCTGCTCATGTCTTTTTAATTAGTGAGTATGTTTGTGCTGGAAGTATTAACATTTTTAGGTTATATGGGCCTAGTTGTTGATTGGCATTGAACTTTACATTTCTCTTAATGGATCAAAGTTGCTAAGTAGCCAAAGCACATGCAGTGTTGGCGTAGATGAGTATGCGAGAGACCTGGGGCCCGTGTGTGGAAGTGAGGTCAGGCATAGGAGGATGGTACATCAGAGAAGCAAGCAAAACCAAGAAGTTGGAGCATGGCCAGAGAAGTAGGGAGAGGGGAGAAGTGAAGAGTCACTCAGGTGCCCAAGTGAGACCCCAACATGGGATCCCGGAGCGTGGGACCATATGAATTGGCAGTGCTTGCTAAGAGCACCTGTTGGTGTCTGTGGGCTTGCTGTTAGGAGCCTGCACTGTGTGGTGCACAGGTGGGGTCCCTGATACAGGACCAGGCCATGAGACATACCAGAGAGACATCTATCTGTATGGAGTCTTTCTGGGCCCTTTTACTATGCTCCTCCTCTGAGACAACACCTTTTCATCTTGACTGGGACTCTTTGGAAGTGCAGGATTGCCTCCTGGAGAAGGCGTTACAGGCACTGGATGACACGCCCTTGGCTGTGCTTCAACCCGTCTCTCTCGGTGAGGGGTGTGCGCGACAATGCTTGGCTGGTGTGTGTCTGCCCCAGTGCCATACAGCTGTGCAGAGGACAGTGTAAACATTTCTGTCTATGCAGATGGGCCACCGCAGTTAGGAGGCAGCCCTTCAGTTCCCATAGCCTGTTTCTTTCTGTTCTTGCCTGATGGTTTCTGGATTTAATTAGGACTAGTTCTTGGCAGCATGCACTGCTGTACTCTTGCTTTCTAAATAAGAGACGCTGTTCATTTTCATTATTTGAGATCATGTTAAATTCGAATCCTTGATTTGCCATTTTAGGCAGGTAGCTGGAAAATTAGAGTGAAAAGGGTGATTTTTTTTTTTAAGATTTATTTATTTATTGGAAAGTCAGATATACAGAGAGGAGGAGAGACAGAGAGGAAGATCTTCCGTCCAATGATTCACTCCCCAAGTGAGCACAACAGCCGATGCTATGCCGATCCGGAGCCAGGATCCAGGTACTTCTTTTGGGTCTCCCACACGGGTGCAGGGTCCCAAAGCATTGGGCCGTCCTTGACTGCTTTCCCAGGCCACAAGCAGGGAGCTGGATGGGAAGTGGAGTCGCAGGATTAGAACCGGCACCCATATGGGATCCCGGTACATTCAAGGCGAGGACTTTAGCTGCTAGGCCACACCGCCGGGCCCGAAAAGGGTGATTCTTAACAAGGAATCTCTCTACCTCATGAATGAGGTTTTTTTTTAGTCTTAATTAAAAAATAAATAGCAATAACAGCAAACAACAACAAAAGTCAAGCTGTCAACAGAGGCAATTTTTTCAACAGCTTTTTGAGTTATAGTCTACCTGCTGTGCAGTTTACCTACTTGAAATATTCAGTAGTAGTATACTTAGAGATGCACACCTTCACTGGAGTGAACTCTAGAACATTTGTAACGGCCTATAAAGAAACCATTTGGCAGTCACTTGCTATTCCCTGTTCCTTCCTGCTTCTACAAATGCTAATGTATTCTTTGTAAATGCTGTCTGTCCTAGATATTTCCTATAAATGAAATCATTCAATACTTGATGTTTTGTTTCTAGCATCTTTATCTCAGCAGACTTTCCAGTTTCATCCATATGTTATTCCATGTCTTAGCACTTCATTCCTTTTCTTATTGCCAAATAATATACCACTGGATAGATAATCCCACATTTTTTTCTTTCATTCATCATCAGCTCACTGAGCTATTTGCACTTTTTGCCTGTGATGGACAGTATTTATGTGACCATACGTGAGCAGAGTTTGCTGTTGGCCTGTTTTCGTTATTCTTGAATATGTAAGTAGGAGTTTTGAAATTGAACAGCTCTATATTGAGCTTTTGTTTTTCCACAAAGTCTTACTGCTGTTTCTCAGCAGTAATTTTTTTCCTTCCTCTGGATAATTAATGGCCAGCTTAATTAAATAGTTTCCTTTCCTTAATATGCCTAATTGTATAATATTCTTGATTACAAAAATCAGTTTTGACTTGGGTTTTTAAAGAATAACAGTATAAATTGTGGTGGTTACCTTTCTGTAATCAGAAAATTGGTACCTGTGTGGTGACATTTTTCTTAACCCAATGATGTATCCAAGTGTTAGGATCTTTTAGCACTTTAAAAAGATCCATTTTAAATATTTTAAACTGTGGTAGCTAATTTTAAGTGCAAAAGAGAAACAATGGCTCATTTTCTGACTTTCAGCTTTGGTTTGATATTTTAATAATCTCTGAAGAAGGTTATGACAACCAGCAATTGAGGAAACCATTAGGTTAAGAGCTGAAGTCTTTATGTAGGATGTAGATCATTGATTTGCTAGTTTAATCTGTGACTTTTAGAACTTGCATGAGGGTGGTGTTCTGTCTTGTATGTTAGTGGTTCTGTGTGTTTTGTCAGTTCCAAGTGGGAGAAGGCTAGATGAGAGCCTGTTTGT